ATTGAATTAATTCTTGGGCTTACAAGTCAAACAATTGAAGGAAGGAATATTCATCAATCAAGCAAAGTACACCCGCGACTTGATAAAGAAGTTTGGTCTTGATGGAAAATCATCGATTAAAATTCCAATGAGTGCATCAATAAGGCTAGACAAGGACGAAGATGGAAAAGATGTCGATCAAACAAAATATAGAGGAATGATTGGTTCACTACTATACCTCACTGCAAGTTGGCCGGACATTTCTTATGTTGTGGGAATGTGTGCAAGATTCCAAGCAAATCCAAAAGAAAGCCACCTCACCGCAACGAAGAAAATCATAAGATACTTGAAGGGAACAATCAATGTTGGATTGTGGTATCCTAAAGGTACAGATTTTACTCTAACTGGTTTTTCAGATGCAGATTTTGCAGGTTGCACAATAGACAGAAAAAGCACCTCCGGAACGTGTCAATTCTTGGGAGGAAGGCTTGTTTCTTGGTTTAGCAAAAAGCAAAATTTCATCGCAACTAGTACCGACGAGACCGAATATATTGCTGCAGGAAGTTATTGTGCTAAAATTTTGTGGATGAAGCAAAAATTGAAGGATTATGGAGTGAATTGCGATGATGTTAGCATATTTTGTGACAATACAAGTGCAATCGCCATAACTCACAATCCGGTGCTTCACTCAAGAACCAAACATATCGACATACGACATCATTTCATAAGGGATCATGTTGAAAAGAAAGATCTAAAAATCGAGTATATCCCTACGGAGAACCAAGTTGCAGACATTCTCACGAAGCCTTTATGCGAAACGAGATTTTCTACTTTAAGGCATGAATTGGGAATGTTGGAAATGAGCTAAGTATCACTGAACTTAATCTCTTGATCTAAAATGATACATATGCTCAAATTATGTGTTTTACGTTTTATATGTTTTACGTGTTTTCATATTTCTATGTGCTTAATTTCTACGTAAACTAATTTGCTAAATGTGTTAAGTTTTTAATTATAAATTTGCATGTAGTGCTTAACGTGTTTCTATATGCCATGCAAATTAATTTGATAAAATGTGCAACTTTATTTAATCTAATTTGTTTTTGAATTGCATGTTTTAATCGTTACTTGGAGCGCAAGTTATGTTCATGTTTGTGTTAATTTGTTTGCATGAACAATCTATTTGCGAAATATGATTTATAATCTGGTTTATAATTTTGTATATTTATGTGATAATTTTTATTAGAATAATTTTTACTAGTTTCTAAATAATTGCTTATGTGTTTAAGAAATTTGGTTATATATATATGTTTTAGAATCTACCGTATGTATGTATATTCTTGGTGATTTAATTGAAATTTGGTTAGTTACCAAAATTTGTGCTTATTCTAATTGGGAGTTACCGTGTATGTGCATGATTATATATGGATTTGATTTAATTGCTAAAATTTAAAATTTCATATATGTTTCGCAATTGCATGTGAGATTTACGGATATGTGTGTGATTTGTGTGATCATATTTATGTGAAATTATCTAATGTGAATCCCATTAAAACTCTCCATCTCTCAAAACCTACACCCCTTAAACTTCCACCCATAATTAATCCCACAAAAATCTAACCATCTCTCTCGTAAATCAGATCCCCTTTCCCGTAAAATCTCCTCCCAAATCCATACTCTCTCTCAAATCTTCAAGAATAATCAGAGGTGTCCATTCATAATCTTCTTACTCTATACACCTTACGTATATAGGGTACCTAAGAAACTGTGAAGCATTTAATGCTCTTGTCTGATAATGATAACCCCTTTTTTCTTTCCTAGTAACACCTTAACCAAAAGAGACCTCCACCCCTAAATGTGTCTTGTCACCACACCTATTCTAAGGGTCTCAATTGAGATTTCTATCTGAGGATTATACCTCATCTTAAATCTTTCTTAAACCATACGAAACCCTTCGTATTCCTCTCAGACGAAAATTCCAGTTCTACCAAGATCGGAAATCTCTCTCTCTTAAGCTCTCAATCTCAAAAATCTGCTTATTCTACCAACACCATGTCTGGAACCAAAGCCATGCAACCCAAAAATCTGCTTATTCTACAACAACAACTGATTGATGGGATGACACTCAATCCGGAGTTTTTCATGATTGGAGCAGTCGACAAGGAAATTGCAAAGAAGATTCTCAATGCTTTGAAGGATTGTGGACTATATGATTTCTTCACCTACAAATAAGCTAGAGCTTTTGAAATATATGTGACCGAGTTCTATCTTCATGCTACTGTGAAGGACAACGTAATTCATTCTAAGGTTGGAAGAACAGATGCTCAAATTTCTGAAATGGACATCAAGGATTGCTTCAAATTCCCTGGTTCAGAGTTGATGCCAGAAGCTCACCATTATGATGTTCAATCCTTCTGGGATGAAATTCGTGGACCAAAAGCACCTGTAGCTCATGGCTTGACCGAGCCAAAGAACGTGTTGAAACCTGAGTACGATATGCTTATTGAGATGATGTACAAAATCCTTGACAACAAGCTTGGAAGTGTGGACGATCTATCTGGAACATCCGTAAGTTTGATGAACGGAATCATGCAAGGAATAAAATTCAACTGGGCTAAGTACATCTTCAATCGCCTATTATTCTTTGTGAACAGTGCAAAACCTCACGGTAGACCACTTGAAGGAAATAACTTTCTTCATAAAGTTGGGTATGGACTTATTGTTGGAGAAATTATAAGAAAGAATAATGTGCCTCTTAGAAGACATAAAAGTGTTGGAATGTACAGAACACTCTTCAGAAAATTTGGACCCGACTATGGCAAGAAATCAAACCGAAGGAAAGGATCTGAAGGAGGTGGTTCCACAAGCACACCACAAAGCTCTCGAAGAAGGAACAGTAGAACCGTATCAGCAGCGAGTGCACATATGGGTTCTAGCAATCCAAGCAACAGAGATCAAGAAGCTGTAAGCTCGGCTACAACACTTATTCCATCTCAAGAAGTGGCAGAGTCTGAAGCTCATGAAGTGGACATACCTGTGATGCCAACTGAAGAAGATACCACCCGAATGGAGTTTGCAGGAGTTGAAGTGCAAGTTTCCAATAACTTGCAAAGGAGAATCTCAAATCAATCTGCAGTTGAAGCTAATGTTGAACCCATTGTGTTCGACACAACACAAACCCGAGATGATCCAGAACTGATGAAGGAATTAAACCGAGTTCAAGCATGGAAGGAATGGAGACTTGAAATATATCACTCTTTCATCTCAAAAGTTGACTCAGAATTTATACGAAGTGAAGAATTTGCCTTTGAATGGCTTGGAACTGACTCAATGCTCGAAACACTAAACATGGATGAAAATCAAATTTATGGACTAAAGATTCAAGAGAAAAATAGTAAAGGAAAACGAGTGGCTGTAGCAGCACAAGAAAATGTCACTCCAGTCCCTTCTGACAATATTGAAAAGGGGAATGAAGTGAGACTACAGATTGCTCTACACAGATCTTTAAATGACACTCATCGACATCCAGGTGATACTTCAATTAATATAGCCAATGATTTTCTTGAAAATTTTGGAGAAATGGCGAATGAAGGAAGTACACTTGTTGAGGTACCAATATCAACCTCTGAAAATCATGAATCTATTCCTGTCAGAGTTCACTGTGCTGAACTTTTGATATCTAAAGTAACCCCCACCAATATTGATATAAATGCAATGGACCCTACAAGGGATGAAGTAAGGGATCAAATTGATGGTGAAATTAGACCCTCAATTGGGGGGGAATGTTTGTATGAAGCGCCAGTGCACGCTAACAACTCTGTGATGTCACTTCAAAACAACTCTCTGGAAGAAGTCAATTTAAACACAGAGATTATTTCAAGAACAGAGGTTATTGGAGAAGAAACTGGAAATCAACTTCAAGAAGCCAAATCACCAGAACAAAACTTGCAGCTTGTTGAAAATCCAGTTCTACCGGATTCACGAAAAAAATTTGTTCAAATCTTTGCACTCTCTGAACATGAGTGGAAGCCGAAGCCGAGAAGAAGATGTAGAAGATCTTCTAACATCACTGTTTGCAAAAGTCACAGAGACAAGTGATGTTGTGTGTCAAAAGATTGGAACTACTCTTACCGAGCAAGGACATCTCTCTTTGCAACATTTTGAGGACACACGAAACAATCTTAAGGAGCTATTGGAGTATCAAAATACTTTGCAGACAAAGATTGACAGAGCCGAAAGACATTTGAAAGGAGATCTCACCGAAGGATTATTGGAGATAATCCAACTCATGAAGAAGGAACGAGAAGCTACCGAAAAGATCAACAATGAAAGACACTTAAGACAAATAAAGGCCATACAAGAGCAAAAGACAAGGACAAATCACCTTGAGGTAGAATTATCCTCTATGGCTAACAAAATATTTGATTTGCAGGATGTTTCTCTCAAAACACATGATGGTGTCAAACTTGTTAAACCTAATCAAGAACAAGATTCCAAATCCCTTGGCTTTTTGATTGATAGTGCCATAAGGGGGGGAAGAAATTCTCAATCATCTGGCTTTACAACAACAAGAATTCATCCTTGGAAGTCAACCACAACATCCAATTTTGACCGCCGCACCAACAAAAGGCCGTGGCCGAGGACGTGGTCAGCAATCCCAAGTTGGTTTCGCTCAATTGGAAAATCCGAGTCTTGGATCAAGCTCATTGAAAGTTGCTGAAACTCAAGGCTGGTTCGAATGCTCAAAAGGAACCGTAACACCGCAAAAAATATGGACATCCGAGAATGTGCCAAGTATGGTGAAAAGATGGCCCAAAGCTGATCAAGCTCAATGGATATCTGAAAAGAATAAAGAAGAAGAAGCGAAAAGGAAGTGAACCGAGATGTGGTACGAGCTTAGAGATCATACCAACAATTATGGTGAAAGTTTGGGATTCCAAAGAAGCTTTGAAGAATGCATAGTTTGGTGGGAAGCCGGAGTTCTTCCGGGCACCAACATTAAAGATGCCTTTGGACAATACATGGCTGGAAATGTAACCAAGAGATTTGAATGTGAAAAGTTCAAAAATGACATCTGCAAGATGAGAGAACATATCAAGGACATATTGAAAGCTGAAATGGGAGGCAAGAAACGCAGAAGGTAATCAAACATAAATTCCTCAAAAATATGGTATTTTGAATATCTATATTTTGGAATGATTTTGGCTATAATAATATTTCCTCTATCGACTAATATGAATAAATATTTCCCAAGGTCTGATCTAAGTCTGTTTAGATTTATTTTGGCTATAATGTATTAGTTCGTGAATTAAAAAGACAAGAATTGTTAAACGCATGCAAAAATTTGAAAAGATAAAAATTGATTAAAAATTAATCAAGGATGCGTATAGGACTTGTCTGAATTAATTCACAAGTATTTTCTTTTTCCCTAGAATTATTTTTGTCAAACTCATCTTGGCTTTGTCAAAATAAAATTGAGCAAAAAAATTGAAATTATATTTCAAAGACTTAAAGCCAATGTTTGAGTATAAGTTATGGCATTATCAAAAGGGGGGAAATTGTTAGGAATAAATTGTAATAGATTTTGATATGCCATATTGTAAATCGTAGAACCCCAATTTTATTTTGGTTAGACTAGTCGAGTCATAGACCAAGAAAGGGAAAAATAAATTCATTAGTTGGGGAAATGGATGAAGAAGATATAAAGCCTAAAATCAAGAATTTGCCTAGTGAAAATGGCAAACAAAAGAGGAAGATGTATGCGTATGAAGAAGTTATGAAGACTATCATCCTAAGAAGAAATCTCTCAAGAAATCAATGAAGAAACCCCTCAAGAAATCCCTCAAGAAATTCCGAAGAAGAAAGAACGTGACTTGAAGTTTGCATGAAGCTATCTTGAAGATCAAGCATCTATAGAAAGAAAGAAGTACACCAAGTGAAACAAGATGATAACCAAAAGGTTGTACGGACGAGTTAGTAGAAGCTTGAAATATTGTATGCAAGGTCATAGGTTTCAATCTCACATCCAACATATTTTAAAGAAGCCAAGTTTAAATCCATCAGATGAAGTATGGGCGATGGGGTATGGGCGATGGTTTGGCGGAAGGGAAGAGTTAACTATGGGATGAAGTATCTCAAAATTGAAATAGGGAGCAATATCAATTTGAAGGGATAAAGTTCACGTATCTCACCCTTGGGGCAGAAGTTAGGGATGAAGTTCACGTATCTCACCCTTGGGGCAGAAGTTGGGGATGAAGTGGATGAGAGTCCAAATCAAGGAAGGGATGGGATTTCACTTCCAAATATAGTAAGGGATGAAGTTTACATGGGAAGAGATTGAGATTTCACTTCCAAATATAGTAAGGGATGAAGTTTACATGGGAAGAGATTTCCCAAGTCAATTTAGAAGATGAAGTCTGGAAGCAGTAGACAGACCCAGACCGTGAAGTACAGAGGAAAATACAAGAAAGACAGACCCAGACCGTGAAGTACAGAGGAAAATACAAGAAAGACAGACCCAGACCGTGAAGTACAGAGGAAAATACAAGAAGAAAAAATACTAGTCTAAACTAGTAAGGGATTAAATTGGAGATTGTATTTTTGAAGATAGAAATCCCAAGAGGCGTGATCTACAACAGATGAAGTTTTTGGGACACCATTTTTGCTAAAACCTCAAGCTCAACTTGCAGAGAATCTCTGACATATCTGCAACGTTATCTTATCCTATGAAAAGGCTATACAGCTAGAAGAAATTCAAAAATGAGAACGTTTCTTTCCAACGGACGGATTCTCATTACCAGCTATAAAAGGATGAAGATTGAAGTTTTGGAAAGCAGTGGTGAAAGAAGCAAATAGCAAGAAGCAAGAAACAGAGCTAAACAGAGCATACGAAATTCAAAGAAAGCTTTCCATCTCAAGAGCTTAAATTGATATATTCTTTGTGAGATAAAAACTCAGAGTGATATAGAGCTTACAAAAGAAATATCCAAGAGTGTTAGAATCTTCATCAACTACAAGAGACTAAGCGCATCATCGAAGATCATCTATAGAGTCTCAAAGTTGGAAGCAAGACAAAACTTGTTTTAGAGCAAAACAAGGGAAAGGAGGAAAGTAACACGGAGTTGTGAAATCCTGGATTGTCACACGGAGTTGTGAGATCCGAAACAGTAGTGTCGGAAGACATTGGGCGTGATCAGTGCGGGCTTTGTGATAAAAGCACTAGATCACGGAAGAAGCGTTTCTACCAGAGCATAGAAGACGGGGGGAAAGTAATGCGGAGTCGTGAAATCCTGAGAAAGTAACGCGGCGACGTGAAACCCGAAGCAGCAGTGTTGGTGGCACTGGGCGTGATTAGTGTGGGCTTGGTGATCAAAGCACTAGATCACGGAATTCATTGTATCTTGGAACCAAGAAGTGGTGGATATAGTGAATTGCTCTTGCACGATAAGAGCAAGTGGAGTAGGAGGATTACACCACCTCCGAACCACTATAAATTGCCTTGTGTTCTTTACTGCTTTCTTTACTTACTGCTCTTGCTTGCTTCTCACGAGAATAATTTTGACACAATATACACACACACCGGATCGTTTATTTATTTCCGCTGTGCACCATACTCTAACAATCTAGTTAAGAGTTTTGGTTTATCTCTGGCTTAGCAATTGTTGTACTGTGCAAAAAAGTTTGAAAGTCTATTCACCTCCCCCCCCCCCCTCTAGACTTTTCACCTTACCTCTTTTGGGACCAACATGAGATACGTAACCAAGAGTCCTTGAAACTTAAGCATATCGACCAACTCCGGAGAGAATTGGTTGGGTTCGAGGGCTTTACCTCCGATTACCGTGTAATCGGCGTCGTTCCATCCCGGGGTTCGGATGCCAACGGGCTTTTTCGGCATTGCGAGGTCTCCTTAGGTGGTGGTGTTTCTTCCCTTGGTGATGATATTTTCCGTGAGTTTCCGGCGAGACTCCGGCAAAATTCTGACGGGGTTCCGGCGACGGGGCGGTAGCGCGGCTCGACTTTGGCGGGGGTTCGGGATCGACGGCGAGGGAGTGGCTGGCCTGGGCGGAGCAGGGGGCCGTGTTGGCAGCGGGAGTTGTCCAGGTGTGCGACGGTGGAGGCGGGCGTCGGTTGTGGTGGTTCGGTCGCGGTAGTGCTACGTGGGTGGTCGGCGAGCAGTGTGATGGCGGCGACGGGAGCGGGGCGGTCGGTAGCCGGGTGGTTGACGGTGGAAATGCGGTAGGCCGGGGGGTGTGTGTCGGGGGTGGTGCCGGCGGTGTTTGGAGGAGAGGGAGAGAGAGAGAAGGTGTGTGGGAGGAGGAAGAAGAAGGGTTTTTGATTTGGGGGTTTTGTGGGTTTTAGGAATTTAGAGGGGTTTAAGAAGGGAGTGTTCCCTTAAAGTTTTAAGAGATACTCATAGTTTAGTGGTTAAGGACTTGGTCTTATAAGTGGGAGGTTTAGGGTTCAATCTTCGTTAAAATGACATTAGTCTTTTTGTTGTGCATCCCCTTTGGCTCTTCCCTTCTTTTGTCTTCTAGTGGTAGAAGATTTGACTGGTCTTTGTCATCGTTGCTGAGAGTTTTTCTTTGGAGAAGTCTAGTCTTTTCTTTATGCCAAGTTATTTTGATTTTGTTTCTTTATAATAATTCCGAAGTAGCTAATCTAAACAAGTAATTTTACTATAAGTGTGGTTACTGGGAGTTTACTAGTTATCCTAAACAGAACTCGTCTTGTTGGTTTGCGGGGTCTTTGTCTCCTGGGGCCATGTTTCCTTCGTCGAGGTTGCCCTCGTCCTCGAGTTCAGCTTGTGTGCAGCTCATGACGAACACCTTTCCGGGGGCACCGTGATTCCCTTGATTTTTTGTGCCTCCGCGTTGGCCCATGATTGCAGGGCGCGAGTTCGAGGGTTGAGTGCACTGGAAGGACTTGTGTCCTTCTCCTCCGCAGTTAAAGCATCGCCAGGGGTTTCCCATGCAGTCTTTGCCTCTATGGTCTTTGTTGCATCTTTGGCAAGGGAAGCTCCTTGTATTAGCTTCGTTGTTTCCTAGGGGTGGCCTCTGGCCAGCTGGGTTGCTTGGCCTTGTGTTAGCGTCGTTTCTCGTTCTTTTCATAGGTGGTGCTCCACCTCCTGTGTTTCTTTTTCGAATTTGTTCCTGGACCCCTCGTTGTAGTAGTTGGATTCGATAGAGATTGGCAGCACTGGAGTAAGCCTCGTTGAGGGTCCGGGGTCCGCTTACTACTAGTGCTTTTCGGGCTTCGAAGTTGAGGCCTGATATAAACCTTTCTATTTTGGTTGCCTCTGTGGGGACTAGTTCTGCTTCGAAGCGTGCCAGTTCGAGGAACCGTTTATGGCATTCCATGACAGTGGTCGTTCCTTGTTTTAGGTGGAGGAATTCTTCGTGCATGGATGCTCTTACGTGTGCTGGGTATAATCGTTCTCGTAGTCGTGTTTTTAGGTTTTCCCAGTTGAACCCTGGTTCCTGTCTGTAAGTGGGTCCCTCGTGGATCCACCAAAGGTCTGCCTCGTGTCCGAAGTAGAATGAGGCTATTTCTACCCGACGTTTTTCTGGCCATTCTACCAATCCCAGAATCTTGTCGAAGATCCGAATCCATTCCTCAGGGATTGCGGGATCCTCTTCTCCCGAGAATGTGGGTGGTCGATGATTTGAAACTTGTCGGGCGATTTCTGAGTTTGTGTTTTTTGGAGGTGGTGGTGGTCTGGTGTTGTGGAGAGCTACGTCGCTCAGTGCTTGGGCGACTTGGGTTAGTTGTTGTAGAGTTTGGGCCAAGGGATCGTGTGTGGCGGGTTCCAGAGTCCTTGATTGTCTTCTGTTTGGTGCCATGCTACTGATCTACTGAGCCAATGTTTATAGTAATGTCGAGTTAGAGTGTTTCACGCTTACCTTGATGTGCAGGGGCGGACCCAGCATGGGGGCAGTGGGGGCAGCTGCCCCCACTCACCCCACCCCCACCCCATATATAACCCTTGTATGTATATATGTATATATAGTACAAGTTTTAGTATAAGTATAATAAAAATAGAAACAATGAATAAAAGTTGATTAGATCAAGTGGCACGGCGCGTGTGTTATTTGTGTAAGAAGCCAGGGTTCGAATCCTGGGTGTGTGCTGATTTACTCTAGTGGCAAATTGTGCTTGTTATATTATTAATGACTTTTAAATACTTTGTATTAATTAATTGTGAGATTTACACACACACACACACACACACATATATATATATATATATATATATATTTATTAAATTTTTTATGACTTTTAAATACTTTGTATTAATTAATTGTGAGATTTACACACATATATATATTTTTTTATTATTAAATTTTTATGACTTTTAAATACTTTGTATAATTAATTGTGAGATGTACACACATATATAATTTTTTTTATATTAATAATGAGATGTGTTTATAATATATTTATTATTTGAATTATTTTATCAAATTAATTATGTTTCATATTTTGTTATGAATATTTTTTATAAAGTTTTGATGCGTTTTATTTTTCATCCACATTCAACAATATTTATGGCTATAGTTTTTTTTTATTATTATTTTTATCAAACTATCTTTTTTACTTTGCATTTCGCCCCCACTGACAAAATTTTCTGGGTCCGCCACTGTTGATGTGATAAGCGAATGGGGGAGTTCTTTAAATTAAGCATGAATTAGGGTGAGGGGAAGATTAGGGGCTCACAATCTCACCGCGCGTCCTAAGGTTCCTAAATCCTATGTTCTTGGACACCTAGAGTTTAAGCCTAATGTCCTAGAGTCTGGTCTTAAGAGTCTTGTCCTAGGGTCAAACTTAGGCTCTGATACCATCTGTAACACCGCAGATTTTTGAAACTTTTAAAACTTATATAATAAAGGTAAATTCTCATTAAATCCCAAAACAGAGCATTACTAAACATAATAGTGCGTGGTGCTATGCCACATCTGAGGTGGAGAACTCAAATGCACAGGCTAAACAAACTAAAAATCCTCAATACATCATCATAGCACGCAGGGCGAAAGGAAAACTATCTATCTAATCCAAGTTCTTCTAGCGTGCTCCGGAAGCTAATCATCTGTGCCTGAAAGCCAAATATATCTGTTCAGCGAATGATGCTGGTAACCCACTCCAACGCGTTAAAATACAATATAGGTAAGTATATATATAGATATATGAAAACCATTTTGAAGCAGGAAGATATATACTTAGGAGACTCTAGCTTTAAAACCAGGAATAGACTCGACAGGTAGGGATAAGCATGTTAAAAAGAGATAATCAGTTATATAGAGATAATATCATGAAGAACATGTATCTAAGGTCACAGTTTACTTTTAAATCATTCACATCATCATTCAATCAACATCTTTATCACACAAGCACACTTTGGTGGCGCCACGGGACCAATCGCATGCCCCAACATTAGGGCTAGTGCATATAGCACTAACACGGCCCCGCAGCACCCTACCTCATACCGCAGCATGAAGGAATTGACCGCAGCCAACTGTATAGACCGTCGATAGTTTCAACGGCGGATCACAGCCCTACACATCGCTGACGCGCTCAGTCGGTGGACTGTGATCCTCTTTTGGGGACTGCGACCCTACACACCGCTTGACGAGCTCAGTCGGTGGGTCGTAGCTGATCAAAGCCCTACACACCGCCTGGCGTGTCCAGTCGGTGGACCATAGCACAGGAGGCCCATGTGGACCACAGCCCAAGAAGTGAGTCACTGACCGCAGCCAGGAGAATGAACCACAGCTCATGAGTAACCAGTTTGATCGCAACCAAATTGGGGTATCATGCTCACATAACACATAGTAACACATATTAGCACATTGGGAAGGGGGAACGCGTATAAATAAACTTATGCGTGATTATCCACATACTAAGAATAGTCCTAAGGGGTTCATACATCTTCCTCCTAGGCCAATGGGTTACCGATTCAACTAGCATGCAATATACGAGACTCTTTTATCCTACGAACAGTACCCGAAACATCAACTAGACTCATGCACGACAAACGGGGTCCATTGGGACACCACGGGGGTTGGGGGAACATCAAACGGGGAAGCCAAAGTCCTAAAGTGGTCAAATTCCAGCGGGTGGAGGGCTACCCGCCGGCGAAGAACCTCCGGGCAGCGGGTGCCCGGCGGGCAGACGTCTGTCCGCCGACTGCCCGCTGCCGGTGGTGTTAAAATTGGCAGCGGTTAGGTGGCGGGTCCCCCTACCCCCCACTGACTCTTTTTCCAAAATATAAGTTCCCGAATCCTTTGTGGAACCCGAAACCATGCCTAGACACTTTTAAACGCAAATGACGACACCACGTAGACAATTAACGGATCAAAAGAAAAAATCACATAGATCACAACCTATCATGACTTCTAAACATAATCAACACCCGAACACGTGAATTCCCACCCAAATATACCAAGAATATCCCAACACGAAAATCACGATTCAACCTAGGGCTCTAATCATATTTAAATCATCAAGATCATAGTTCATCTCTAATATCAAGAAACATCAAGATTTATCAAGAACATCACACAATCATCAAGATCCTCTTATCAACATCAAGATCATCAAGATCACACATAAAATCATCTCATCAATTATCAAGATCATATCACAATTATCATAGAAGATTTCATCAAGACACAAGCATAGAATAAGGAGCCAAAGAAGAAGATTATAGCAATGAAAATAGGTTTGGTTGAGACATGGGTTACCTCTTAGCTTTAATTAAATTCCTTGGCTATGAAGGGTTTTTCTTTAAGATCTCTTCTTTCTTGATTTCTCCTATGGGAATTCTTGGGAATTCTTGTGTGGTGAAAGTTATTGTGGTGTTGGTTCTAGGTTCTTCCTATGCCCCTATTTATATATCTAGGAGTCCTTATTAGGGTCTAAATGGTATGGGCTTGCTAATTCTATTCCTTACAAGACTAAGGGGTTGGTTTTAGGGATAAGGGTCCATGGACTATGGTGGACCCCTTTTTAGTTAATTAATGGATTTTAATTCTCTTTTTAGGGTAGGTAATTAAATAATTAGTTTGGGTTTAAGGTCGTAACACGGGGTGTTACACAGCAGATAACTCAAATTATCTCGGTACCCCATGGTATCCGTTCCAATCTAGGAATTACCATTGTACTGTGAAACTCCCGTAGTGATTAGACTCAAGAGCTGAGCCAGCCTCTTCTCAGATAAAACAACCTTCACACCTCTCACCTTAGAGGTAACTTCTAACTTTCCCACATCTTTTGTCACAACCATGTGACGGTAGAATTCCTTAACCAAACTCGGGTATGCCTCGACCCTTATGGTGAGAAACCCATCCAACAAACCTTGATATCTCAACACTTCTAACAGGGAACTAGAAAAAGATTCTGGGTCAAAGGCTTTACCTTTTAACACGAGATAATGGGCATCCACCCATTCAACTTTCCTAGCCAAGCTTGTCCTCCTAGGCATGGTTGCAAGATGACCCAAAGCTCAAAGAGAAGACCCAAAGCTTTTCCTATTTCTTCTTCTCTCTCGCTGCTCTCTCTCTCTCTCTCTCTCTCTCTCTCTCTCTCTCGCTGCTTCGGCTTCACGGCACGGCAGCGGAGCTCCGGTCGGCGGCGAGGCTCCGGCAGGTGGCGGTTGGCGACGGGGCTTGGCTGCGACGGGAGGAAGGTGACCGACGGTGAGGGGGGGTTTTCGGGTGTTTCACGGGTAGAAAAGGGAAGAAGGGTTTGGGAATTTGGGGAAAATTTGGGAAAGAGAAGATTTAATTTGGGGATTTTGGGCAAAGTGAGCAATTATAGGTAAAGTGGAATTTAAATGAGATGAGGTTTAAGAAACATAACTAGCTTAAGTAGTTTAAGGGTTGGATTTGTAACTTACATGAACCTAGGTTCAAAACTTGGTGGTTACAAATTTTAAAATTTCCTTGGTCTTTTTAGGCTACACAAGAAGGGATTTCTATGGGTGGTCTATTATAAATTCAAGGGCACTTAAATAAATTTAGATGACTCACAAGGGAGGTTGGGTTACAAGGAACATATGCAAGGCTACGGAATTAACACAAGCATGACGCATTTTAGAGAGGCTACGGAATTAACACAAGCATGACCGATTTTAGAGATAAACAATTAACTCCACGAAAGACTCTCACTTAAAACCAAAAGAGTCACATAACAAGGAAGCAAGGCAACACAAAAAGGCAACAAGGGAAAAGATAAAATATCCAGATAAGGATAGGCTTAGGAAAAAGGTAACTCAAAAAGGCAACAAGGGAAAAGATAAAATCTCCAGATAAGGATAGGCTTAGGAAAAAGAGTTACCTGCCATCTCGTCCTCAACCAACCCCTCCGTCTCAGCCTGAGTAAGTGTCTTCACATGAGATGCATTGCTCATATTATGAACTTGGTGGTACAAGATGTTTTAAAACAATGTGATATTGATGTTAAAAGGGTTAGGGAGGTTGTTAGATATGTCAGAAATTCTCCTTCAAGGTTGCAGAAATTTAGGGATTTGGCAGAGTATAGTGGAATTGAGCAAAAAACATCCTTGTGTCTTGATGTACCAACAAGGTGGAATTCCACCTATTTGATGTTACAGTCTACATTGATCTACCAGAAAGTATTTGATGACTATGAATACAGTGATAACTCTTTTAAATCTGATATGGGTGATTCTATTCCTACTTCTCTGGATTGGGAGTCTGTGAACAACTTGGTTAAGCTGTTGAAATGTTTCTATGAGATGACTCTCAGAATTTCAGGGTCCTTATATGTGATAGCTAACACCTTTTTCTCTGAAATATCTAATCTGTATTGTATCTTGAATGAAATGGTGGAAGCTGATGGGGCTGAGAAACTAATGGGGGCTAACATGAAAGCAAAATTTGAAAAATATTGGGGTGATATTGATAAAATGAATTATATAATTTTCTTTGCAAACATTTTAGACCCAGGGACAAGTTAGAATATATGCCAACCCAATTACTTCATATGTATGGTGACAAAAAAGGAAAAGATTACCTTGAGAAATTGTTGGCTGTTTTGAATGAATTGTATGATGATTATGCTGTGAGTTATAGCCCTACTATTGTCCCTGCCACTGGTTCTGGTTCTGTAGCATCTGTTACTCCTGTTGTTGAGTTTGTTTCTGCCCCTGTTAGGAGGCCACAACATCTATTGAAGGCCCAAATTAAGAAACAAAGAATGAAAACTGGTGGGAGGAAAAAAACTGAGTTGGAATATTATTTGAGTGAGGCAATAACTGAAGATGAAGGTTCCTTTGATATACTGAGATGGTGGAAGGTCAATTCTGCAAGGTTTCCTATCCTTTCTAAGATTGCTAGGGATATCTTAGCTATTCCTATCTCAACTGTTGCCACAGAATCTGCCTTTAGTACATCTGGGAGGGTTTTGGATCCTTTTATGAGTTCTTTAACTCCTAAAATTGTGGAAGCCTTGGTATGTACTCAGGATTGGCTTAGGCTGCCAAATACCCCCATTTGAATTGAAGAAAATCTAGAAGAATTAGAAAGATTTGAGAAAGGTAAAATATGTATTATTTCAATCATTCAAGTTAAGTTCTTTTCATTGAATTGAATTCTAACAAGCTTCTACTTATTTGATTTAATTGCAGAATTTAGTGTTGATGGTGGAAGTGCATCTGGTGGGAGGACTTGTGGTTCTACACTTTCAAGTATTCCTGTAATTGTCTTCTCCAATCTCTATACTTTATATGATATATTAATATCTTAATCTTGTATTCAACTATTCAACTGACTTTATATTCTGATGTTAAGGCAATGAAACTTGGTGACTTTAAGTTGCTTCCCTTGATGAGTTTTTGGCCCCTAACCACTACTCTTAAATCCTGTAAAATGGTAATGTTCTATTTACAGTTTAGACTGTAAAGGCTTGGTAGCTTACTAATTTGTAAGAGTAAGTAAAGTTGCTGCTTTTTGCAGTTTTGCATTACTGTAAATATGTAATTCTGGTAATGTTATCTTTTGAGTTTTTGATATATTATGGCAAATTGGCAATGATGAAAGCTTCCACCAATGATCTGAAATAAGGATTAAGCTGGTATGTTGCTCAATTTTCAATTGTCCATGGTGATATTGAAGATTTGAAGCAATTTGCCCTTAATCCATACATTGATATGGACAAATATGCTTACTAAGCCAATATTATAATCTCATTTTCTCATTTGTTAAGTAATTATTATTGACTTATTGTTTTTTACTTGTGTAGTTGTTTGTTTCCTTTACTAAATTGCACTAAGTTTTAACAAGAAGAAGAATAGCAGTCTAGAACACTAGGAGTATTACAGATTTACAGATTCAGCGTAGGATTAAGATTCAGGAATCAGGATGATTTTTTGTGATCAGGAATCAACATGGCTTTTTGTGATCATGAATCTGCATGCTGGAAATCTGGAATGGTTTATTGAATCGTGCAAATCTCTATGTGGATTTGTAAATCTTTAATTTTGTTTTTTTGTGAAGTGTAAACTGTAAACTCTAAATCATTCATTTTTGGGGCTTTAAGGTTTTTTGTATGGCATATTGGTATTAAGGCATTTTGTCTTGAATTTACTTGATTTAGTTTTAAAGTTTTATTATTCTTATTTAAAACCCGAACAGTAATCGGATATCCAACCAAACCGACCGAATCCGAATACTTAAGAAACCGAAAGATTTAATATATAAAAAGTTAGGACCGATTTTACATTCACCAAACCGAAATCCGAGCGGTTTAGCCAACCCCAACCCCGAACCGAACCGAACCGCCCGATACACACCCCTAGTTGTAATTATATATACTCACATGTATTATGCTCTAATGGATGTGATGTTGGAATGAAAGAATCCCCCCTTTTCACTCTTGTCTATACTCTCTTTTCTCTTAAGAATATCTTCATTTGTAATGAGTTCATCGGTTAGAACTAAAGGCCAACGGGCACAAACATCCACTTTACAAAACAAACAATTTATTGTGATAACAATATACCATAAAGATAATTTACTTACCAATGTTACTTCTCCTTGTGAATACTCTATTATCACGACTTGAGTACTTGACACCTTTTCTTTGAGGAATTCAAATTGTCTTTAAGGGTGTGTTTGGAAACCTGGAAAATGAGTTCTGGAAATCATTTTCCAAGATTCCAGTGTTTGGATGTGCCTGGAAAATCAAGTCAACGGAAATCATTTTCCATTGACTTTGGAAAATAGGCTTGTTTTGGAGGAAAATGACTTCCCCTTTTTTTGGGGGGAAGTCATTTTCCAACTTTTACACCAACATCACACCACCACCAACATCATCAACACCATACCACCATCACCACCAATATACCCCCGCCACCATCACACCACCACCACAACCACCACCAACACCGCAACCACTACCACCACCACCACCACCACCACACCGCCGCCACCATCGCCGCCGCCACCACCACCACATACCACCGCCACCACACCACCACCACACCACCACCTTCACACCATCGCCGTCGCCACCACCACCACCATACCACCGTCGCCGCCACCACTACCACTATACCACCGCCACCGCCATCACCACCATACCACCGCAACCACCGCAACCACCACCACCATACCACTACAACCACTGTCGCCGCTACCGCCGCTACCACCGCCACCACCACCATACCACCACAACCACCATCGCCGCCACCACTACCACCATACCACCGCCGCCGCCATCACCACCATACCACCGCCACCACCACCACACCACCGCCATCACACCGCCACCGTCGTCACCCCACCACCACCACCATACCACCGCAACCACCGCCGCCGCCACCACCACCATACCACCGCAACCACCGTCGCCGCCACCACCACCACCACCGCAACCACACGACCACTGCCACCACCGTCATACTACCACCACCATCACACCAACACCACTAACATCGTCGCCGCCACCACCAGCATACTACCGCAACCACCGTCGCCGCTGCCACCACCATACCACCGCAACCACCACCGTCGCCACCACCACCATACCACCTCCACCACACCACCACCGTCATACCACCATCAATTATTATTATTATTATTATTATTATTATTATTATTATTATTATTATTATTATTATTATTATATAACGAATAACACCACTATCACTACACCACCACCACCACCATAATATTTTTGATATATTATTAGTTTTTTTTTTTGAAAAACTTAGCTATTTTTTATTATATTTAAAATTAATATTATATTATTATATATTATTATACATGTTGTAATATTCTAAATAAAATATTTAAAATGTTTAATTATACAATTCTACTCATTTTCCAGAAAATGAACCAAACACAGAAAAACAGTTTTCCATAATGCAACCAAACACTGGAAAGGAAAATATTTTCCGGAAAATGACTCATTTTCCAGAAAACATTTTCTAGAAGTCATTTTCCTGCTTTCCAAACGGACCCTAATATTGTCACATTTTGTCCAATCTTTTGATATGTTACAATTTCAATCCAAGTACGTAACATTAACTTAAGAAACAATATATCTAGGAATTCTAATGTTTTAACTTTTTCTGAGAGAAGTCATAAAAGGTATAATAAAAAAGTAAATGGCATAACATAGCAAATACTATATTTTTGTAATAAAAAAGAATCTGGTCAATTTTCATTAATTCTTTTGATTATGAAAATGTTTTGTCAAGATGAAGAAACTAATGTAATAAAATGTTTTGCTCCACCAAGAAGAGACCAAACGAGCTGATTCTCCGGCGCAAACTCCCGATGGCAGCCAACATCCCGGCAGAAGCACAAGCTAAACTATCTAATCATAGCATAAACCACAATTGATATCTAAGTACAAATCAAGGCACGCAAGTCATCTCATCAAGACTAGAACTACCTAAACTAAGTCAATGAATCCAACTAACACGCTACGAAGCTACTCAACTGTCCCTGAAAAACATTCGGTGTAACAACAGTCAGCGAATAATGCTGGTAACCCACTCGAACACGTTAAGTACAATATAGGTAAATATAAGAAACTCATTTTGAAACTAGACTACAAATATACTTACGAGACTCTAGTTTAAATCCAAGATCAAGACTCAAGACACATTAATAGACTTAACAGTATAGAATAATCATAAAGACTAACATGCAACCTAAGAACGCAATACAAGACGTAACAGACAAATAAACATACAAATAACAATTAGGGGCAACGAAGGCTTATAAGACAATCAATTAGCAAGTAGTCATCAAAGCACACAATTCATCCTCCAACCTTATACCAAGTTCCAACCTTGTAGCTCCCCTCCATCCTTATATCAGTTCCAACCTATACCTCCAGGCCACCCTTATATCAGCACCCCTTATGCCTCCAGGCAACTATATGCCCCCACCGACAAACCACCTATCAACCACCAACATATCAAGATGGTGCCGCAGTGCCATTCAATGATCCGCACCTCTAGTGCCACTATCAAGGGGTTAGCGCATATAGCTCTAACATGACACCGCAGCACTTATAACCTACCCATGCTCAACGGAAAGTTAGTCGAAGGTGGGTGTGTGCCTTAAGCACAGTCACCGCTATGGCTTGTACCTTTAGTACAATGACCAGGCACAAGTGGTGCCAACCGCCAACAATTCATTTCCACCAATCACAATCTCATCATCATCATCATCATTCACACCGGCCATTGCGCAAAGACCACGATACTCATCATCATTCAATCAATCAACACATAATCACATAACAATAAAGGCACAACAACAATAACATGTATTACACATAAATTCCTAGAACGATACCTAAAACATCAAACGAGACTCATACATGACAAACGGGGTACAACGTGACACAATAGGACACGGGGAAACAACAAACGGGGAAAAACTTCACGAACCTCGACCGGTTTCATACGGGTAGGTGGCGGGTGGAGGACCACCCGCGGCG